CTGTCACCTATCCATCAATCGTGGGATACCGTCATATCCGAAGGTTCCCGTGTACCCGAGCACCACGCCCCTGTACAAGGAAACTACCTATATCCCCCCAGGACCCTGGCCCTACGGATCGACAAGCACGAATATGGGCAAACCCAAACAATGAACCGTCACCCCAACCCTAGCTCTACTTCTACTCATACAAATCATATGAATGATTAAGGATGAAGTTGAACATGTTAAGATCATACCACACAAACTATACACTAGTTCATATATCATGATTATAACAAGACAACTATACTCTAGTTCTATATCACAACTATATAAATGATATGAGAGCAAGACTTTGGAAGAACTCTTCATAGTACTATTCATACCAAGATGTCACTCTTCTTCCAAGGAGCCAAGCCCTCCTTGATAGCTTTGCTAGCTCCAAATACTACTACTAAAGCTAAGAGAGTACAAGTAGAGAGAGGTGAGGTGATAGCTCCAAATGTTGTGTGTTTTGAAGAATGAGCCCTACCCCCTTATTTATACTAGCTAGTGGTCGGTTTAGGGGAGATAAAATAGGAAACTAGCCTAAATCGAGCCCAAATGTCATTAATGCCCCGCCTGTGCAAGGTGGGGCTAGGAGGAGGACGGTGCGGTGCGGCCGCACCTAGGCCAGCCCTCCTCAGCACTGCCTTCATGCTATGGGCTGGTGGCTAGGCCTGGCCCCTCCCACATCGGTGCTCGGCCCAGATTCAATGTGTAGGTGGGCTTCTCCATGTATTTCCTTTGTGAATTTCTGCATTACGCTTTCTACTTTGCGCCTTTTGCTTGTTTTTGTATATTTTCCATTTGTATTTGAATGTGTGTCCTGCAAAACATGTTTTCTTCAATACAAGTGGAACTATGCCAATACTAAAGACATATGTGTCAAAAGATTGTTTATTTCTCCTGTTGTGGATAATAATTGGTAGTCGAATGTTGTCGTTAGTGACCACCAACAACCGCTGGTGTGCTCTCATATGTTTCTTCCAATCTCTTTCACACCTCACTAGCTCTTTCACAATCCTTGATTTGCTCAAACACCTTGGAATCAATGGCATTGTAGATGGTATTGAGAGCCATTGTATTGCATTGCTTGTTGGCCTTATCTTGGTTGGTGGGATTGTCGGGATCAAGAATCACATAGTCACTCTCGGTCATATCTCATACTTGATCATTCATTGAACCAAGATACATCTTCATCTTTCTCTTCCAATAAACATAGCATGTGCCATCAAAGAACGGTGGTTTGCCCTCCACATGGTTGAACATAACTTGAGCCATATTTTGACACCAAGGTTGTTAAGCCTTCAATCAAATGGTGACCACAGCTCCGATACCACTTGAAAGGTCCTAAATGGCTAGAGGGGGGGTGAATAGCCTACAAAAAATTCTCTACAATTACACTAGAGCAAGTGGTTAGTACACTAACTGGCGTAATGCAACTTTACTCTAGCTCTACAAAGCTTGCAAGCCACCTATCCCAACAATTCTAGTTGCTATGATCACTAAGCACACAAGAAGCTAAGTTGCTACTCACTAAAATCTCTCAACAAGGCTACACTAAAGAGCTCCGCTAGGTGAAACTAATCTAGCAATCAAGCTCTTAAAACTAGCTACACTAAAGAGCTAGCTACACAACTAGTTGCAAGAATGTAAGAGAGTGAGTAGGGTGATTATACCACCGTGTAGAGGAATGAACTAATCACAAGATGAATACCAATCAAACACTAGGAGAAATCCAATCACACAATGACACACGATTTTTCTCCCGAGGTTCACGTGCTTGCTGGCACGCTAGTTCCCATTGTGTCGACCAACACTTGGTGGTTCGGCGGCTAATAGGTGTTTCATAAACCTAGTCCAATAAATGGACGTCGTAAGAACCTACCCACAAGTGAGGTAACTCAATGACACAAGTAATCCACTAGAGTTACCTTTCAGCACTCCACTGGGGAAGGCATAAGACCCCTCACAATCATAGAGAGACAGCCATGAACAATCACCAACTCATGCCGATGCTCCTCCGCTGCTCCAAGCCGTCTAGGTGGCGGCAACCACCAAGAGTAACAAGAAATCCACAGCCACAACGATCCCAAAGTGCCACTAGATGCAATCACTTAAGCAAATGCACTAGGAATCACTCCTAATCTCACTATGATGATGAATCAATGATGGAGATGAGTGAGAGATGTTTGCTTAGGCTCACAAGGTTGTCAAGTATTTCAAAGTGCTAAGAGGGTGAGCCCCAAGCCAGCCAAGAGCTATTTATAGAGCCCCTCAAACAAATACAGTCATTGTTCTGTGCAGACCTGACCAGACTCACCCCAATGTTCGGTCGGCAGTGTCCGGTCGTCCCTAGCCATCCATGTGTCGCACCTTTGAATTCTATGTGTCGATCTCCAACGGTTAAATCCACTCACGTACCTATGTTAAGTAACGACCGGACTCGATGCCTGAACGACCGGACTCACATACACAGAGCGTCAGGTCGTTTCCAGAGAGGTTCTAGAGCCGATAAATATTGACCGGACACATCCGGTCAGAGGTGACCTGACACGCCTGGGCGTCCGGTCTTAACTCCGCTTTTCTGCGCTCGCCCACGATGCTGAAGCCAGCGTACGTCAACGCTAACCTGACGCGGCCCCTACGTGTCCGTTCATGTGCCCTCGCCTGCGTACGATCACCACCTCGTGCTGCGCCTACTCTGGACCAAGTGACCGGACGCACAGCCTGCGTCAATTCCTAGCATCCAGTCGACCTTGGCCTTCTCGGCCATGGGCTAATCCACTGACCGGACTTAGCTTGGCAGCGTCCGGTCAGGACAGAGCCAGCGTCGAGTCATTTGTCTTCACCTCCTTTTCTTTTTCTACCTCCTCAACCGCTTCACCCTTGCTTTCAAGTTTCTAACCACAAAGTGTAGAACTTGTGTGCTCGTGTGTTAGCATTTCACAAGGGTCAATTATTAGCACACTAGGTCCCTAAATACATATGCAAGAATCATGTCACCTAGTGGCACTCGATAACCGCTTAGCCAAAGATTTCTCCTCTTTATAGTACGGCAATCGATCCTAAACACACTTACACCCTCTATGGTGTCTTAAGTGCCAAAACAAAAACCTATTTAATACCTTTGCTTGGATCTCCTTGGTTTTTGTTTTTCTCTTTCTTCTTTTCCAAGTTGGAGAACTTGATCATCTCTTTTGTGGCCACCACCTTCACCATGACTATCATCTTGCTCCATCACTTGGATTGGACTACCTTATCTAATTCACACACTTAGATCAAAGGTTAGTTCTAGGTTTCATCAATTATCCAAAACCAAACTAGGGCTTTCAGATGGCACACCTTGACACCAGGAAGACCTCACCGCCGGGAGCAGCCGAAACCCTAGGTCCCATCTCCGAATGAGGAAATGCCTGAGCCCGACGCTTTTCTTTCCATGGGACGATTCGAGCTATTCAGGACGAGGAGGGGCAGTGCTGTCATTTTGTCTAGGTTCCTTTTTATTATTTTTTTGGACATTTAATCCCACCAGAACAAATGGTGTTAAAAGTAGGGGCAAACGGATGCTTCATTTAAAAATAGTGAGGGTAAACTCACAAAGTTAAAAAAGAAGGGGTAAAATCACCATTGAGCTTTGGAATAGGGGCAGAAACACTAAAATCCCATCTTTCTATATATCGTTCTGACGTTCACCAAGGCTATATCCCTGGCAGGTTGCCTTGTCACTGGCCTCCTGCTCGGCGAGCCTCTCGTTCCCAACCTCCTCCCCTATGAGGCCCTACTAGGAGCGGGGATAGGAACAGTGAACAGGAAACGGAAAAATAAAAAGAATAAGAGTAATGTGACCAACCAATAGGTCTAAAAACAGGGGCCATAATTTGAGATGTCTACCGTTAGAGTTTAACCTAGTAAAAAAGACCTTCAAAAGTAGAAAAAACCCCTTAAATCACAAGTAGGGTAACTATTTTAGGGAACATTATTGGAGTTGCTCTTAACTCCTTAGATTATCCAAAGGAACCATAGGAAAATCTTCTCTTGCCCAAACAAAACATAGACGACCTTAATCACTGATTAGTATAGTTTGCGTTCCTCGTGAAAATCGATACTTTAAAATAGTCTTGGGCGAAAGCTACATCCCGACATGCTTGCGCTTATGAATTTATCTATAAGTTAACAAATATCAACATCCATCACGTGCAAAAAAAAAATTTACAAGACGAGAGAAGTGCACAAACCAAATGGAATCAAACCTTGTCACTTCCCCTTTGGCAGCTACTGGTGGTTCCCCTCTAGCTCGCTGTCATCATCACGCTCAAATGGATTTTGTAGGACGTGGGAGTACGTCTAACGGTGAATGGAGTGGGGAATGTTGAGATGATCCATAACTGCTTTGTTCTCCTGGTGAGCCTCGTTCGCTTTCTTGGCCACATAGCAACACAGAGATGACTGGTTTTTTGGTGTTTTGACAAGGACGAGCAGCCATGGCTGGCCATGTGATCACCGCGCGAGAGAGATGCCGATATTGTTTGACTCAGAACGAAACTAGAATCATATAAGTAATTTTTTAAGAACTAGGGAGTAATGCACAATGTAGATGCAAATGTGCCATACTACTAATCGTTCAAGTGACAAAAGTGACATTAGGTTATACGAAGTCAGCCAGTAGCAATAATGCTCAGTTCATTTTATTATGGAGTTAAAAAACCGCGGTGGATATTCCAAAGAGCCATCCCATCGGTCTGCAAAACCAAATGAGATGGGCCATATTTCCAGGTTTCCAAGAAATCAAAGAGCCCAAGCCCGAAAACTGCGTAACGGGAAGAGAAGGAAAAAAAAATAGTAGAAAACCCACCGGGCTGACGGCCGCAGGGCCGACAGCCCACGGAACTGCAGCAGAAACCGCCGAGTCATAGCAATAGCAACGCGAGCAGATCTCGTCGTCTACAAAGTACGAACAGGCCGCGGCGTCGCAATCACGATAAGCAGACAGAGCAGCGCACTGCACTCTTCTCTGCAAGCTGCACATCCTCCCTCCCTCCCGGACACGACAGAACCCGAGCGCCCAGAGCAAACAATCCCAGTGCGATTCGCTTCCGTATCGCCTGCAGGCCCCACCGGCGGATGCATCCCCCCGTAAGGCCGTAACCGTAACCTTCCGCCGACCGCTTCCATGGCCGTGGCCTCGGCCGCGCGGCCGCCAACGCCAACACCGGCGCCGCCGCCGGCGAGGCTGGGTCGCTGTGGTCGACGCTAGAGGACCAGCGCGGGGCGGCGGTCCCGCTGCTCTCCTCGGCCTGGACCCTGCCGACCACCTCCCAGCCCGGGGACGGGGAGGAGCAGCGGCCCAAGGAGGGCCTGCTCCGCCGGGCCGGCGGCGCTGTGGCCCGCTGGTGGGGGGCGGCGTGCGGCGCGGTGGCGGAGCTGTGGGCGTTCGCGCGGGCCGACCCGCGGAAGCCCGTGTTCGCGGGCAAGCTCGCGCTCATCTCGCTGCTCGTCTTCCTCCGGGAGCCCCGCGACATCGTCAGCCACTCCGTCTGGGCAATCCTCACCGTCGTCGTTGTCTTCGAGTTCAGCATCGGTGCGCGCCGCCTTCGACTTTCCCTGGGTTTACTTGCGTTCAATTCAAGGTGTCATCTTTGCTATGGCCCGGTTCCTCTACTGTTCGGTCTTGATTGAAATTCCTTCGTTTGTCAAATCTCGAGTCTCTTGCGTGCCTTCATCTTCTGATGGGATCTTTGTGGCTGCTGCCCTTGTCTCTGTTCCGACGCGTCAGTTCTTGGAGCATGGCCATATATACAGTACTCCTTCCCATGTTCATCTGATCTGCGGATCAGCAACGAACTGCCGTTGCATTCAAGATCACTCAGGCAGTCGGGCCTGCCAGCTTAAAAATGTAATTATGAGATCTCTTCTTTTGGGCAATGATACTAGAGATGTTAGGTTTGTACTCCCAGCAATGCACAACACGGGTCCACTTTTAGGTGACCGAGTGAATCAGTTGTTCCGTGCAGAGACAGGAAAACTCGTCTTCCATTAGCCCCATCTGCTGAACGTGGCCCCCTGCTTTTGGCATTGTCGAAGACCTGGTGATTGAGCGGCTTTTGACATTGCTGAAGATCGGGTGGTAGATGGATTAAGAAATGGTGCTTGCCTAGTTTATGCTGTTGGCTGGCATATTTTATTTCGAGCCTGTGTGCAGTGGGATGTGTAACTTTATTAAAACTATATTTACAATGGTGATGGACCACAACTTCTTAAAGTTTAGGCCAGATGCTTCTTGAGACGTCTTCAAAGTCCAAACTATCATACCGTAAAATTTAAGCCGGTCACAATTGCTTATTAAACTATGGGTTTCATCAAATTTATTTGGAAACCCTTTTTGTGTAGGTCGCTCAGAGAATAATGGCTACTCAAATGGACAAAACAAATAAAATTTGGAAGAAAAAAGTAAGATTGGTTGTTAAATGTTGTAGGTATTGTTTCTGTGATGCAGAAAGTTAAAAAACATAGATAATTCCTTTTTTTTATTTGCCACTAAGGAAGCTGTTCTTTCTTATACCTTTCTTTTTTGTCACTGGTCTTTAAGGTGCTTGCTTTTTTTTTAATTATTTGATTAGCACTAATACTTAGACCCTTAGATGGAAAATTTTCAACTTGGAAAAGATGGGTCCAGTGGCTGGTGCACACCGGCAAATTCATTTTTCCATATTCTGTAATTGATTTGCATCAGTGTTGATGCAGGTGCAACCTTAAGCAAAGGGTTTAATCAGGGATTGGGGACACTAACTGCAGGAGCTTTTGCTCTAGCAGTTGCAGAATTGTCCAAACATCTGGGAAAACTGGAGGAAGTGATTCTTATAACAAATATCCTTATTGTTGGTGAGCACTTACATTCTGAGAGCAATCAATTTTTTTTTTCTCGTTGGGCCTATGAATATATCTAAAGTGTAATTCTCGTTGTTTATATTGGTAGCCTTTGTCACAACCTTGACAAAGCTGCATCCGATGATGAAGCCGTATGAGTATGGATTCCGTGTGTTCTTGTTGACATTCTGTTATGTTATGGTCTCTGGGTACAACACTGGGAAATTCACTGATACAGCTACAAGCAGATTTATATTGATTGCTATTGGTGCTGCTGTCAGATTTAATTTCTAGTGTGTTTTCAGCTTGGTTTTGCTATATGGGAGCCACCCCATGGCCCTTACAAAACAATGAACTATCCTTGAAGGAGTTTCACCAAAGTTGGAGCATTGAGGCACTGTTCCTTTGCAGTCATGGCATTACATGGTTGCATTCTTTCAGAAATTCAGGTTTGTCCATTTAATGTCAACAACAACTGTTGAGACTCTGCATCTTTTTTTCTAAACAAATATATTATTGACATTAGGCACCACCAGAAAAAAAAAGGTGTACCCGGCAGAGAGCTCCGCTCTGTCAATGGGTCCTGGGGAAGGTGTCATGGCAAGCCTTACCTCGCCTGTGCAATGCAAGGAGACTGCGACTTGAACCCGGGACCTTCCGGTCACAGGCGGTAAGACTCTACCGCTTGCACCAGGCACCACCAGAAAGCATAAGGGTATTTGCTGCAGAGATTAAAAGTGGGACAGGAAGGAGCTAAAGTGTGTTGCTTGAGCTTGGAAGCAGAGTTAAGACAATGACCAAGCTGAGTTCAGGTATTCTGTTCGAAGTTCACATGGCAGCTGAAGAGTTGCAAAAAAAAGATTGATGAGAAGTCATATCTTCTGGTGAACACTGAAAGATGGGATGCTAGCAAGCAAGTTCAAGGAATCAAAGAAGTTTTAAATGGCACCCGTGCTGTGGAAAAGGAAAACAAGAACAAAGAAAACAAGAATGATGGCACCAGTGCTGTGGAAAAAGAAAACAAAGCCAAAGAAAACAACAATGGCGGGGTGGAACCTACCATAGTTGATCAAACTTTAGTGCATCAGTCAAAGAGCTTTGTTGCAAATTCATTTCTGAGCAGATTTGATTCAGCATCAACAATTGACGGTTTTAAGCCACTACTGTCTTGGCCTGCTCGTAGATCATTCCATCCAAACATACCACTTGAATACGAGGATTCCCAAACATATGAAAGTGCAAGTGCCTTGTCCTTGGCTACATTTGCATCACTTCTGATTGAATTTGTTGCCAGACTACAGAATGTTGTTAATGCATTTGAAGAGTTGAGTGAGAAGGCTAACTTTAAGGATCCTGTGGAGGAGCCTACTGCAGTTAGCACAGGTGATGTTAGGTTTTTCGATAAAATACGGAAAATGGTAGGATTCTAGAGTTGACACTGATGACAACCTGCAAGGCTTCAGTTTCAGATGACCATGCAATCCTGTTTTGGCATCCAGTTTCCGTTTTTAAAATTAATTTGGGGGTACGGAATGTACACTAAACTTGTAAATGTGCAATCAGATGATTGCAAGCTGTATTGCTGGAGTTCAGTTTACAGCCACAGAAATCATCAATATGGTAAAATGCTGATCTATTCATCTGTTCTATTGTGTTTTCAGCGACTTGTAAATAATGTTACACCTGGCTGATTGCACGTATGTATATTGCGTGAAGGGTTCAAAGTATATTTTGTGAATTGCCTGTTTTTCATTCTTTTTTGCACTCACCAGAAAATTTGATATTGGTTTTTGTATCACTGTGATTTCTTGTTCTTTGTTAGTTTTGGTTGTCTTTAATGTATATATCGATTAAAGTTGCGTAGACTGTCTTGCGAATTAGAATCCTTATCACAGTATTCCATCAATCAGAAAACTGTTGATGAAACTGAATATCAATCAGAAATATCACAAGTGTCAATGAAATACAACAACTGCTATCGATTATGCTTCCCCACTTTAATCTCTAAAACATAGCAAACATGGTCAGCTAAATACCACAACTGCTATCGACTATGCTTCTTTTGACTATATACAGGCAGCGGGAATACAAAGTACAATATGTTAGCTATGCTTATCTACCTTTCCTTTCTATTTCCCCGTCTTGTAACCGTTTTTCTATCCCGTAGTTACATTTCCTCCACACGATTATAGCCAAAGAAGAGAGAGGGTTCCATGGCAGTTTCAGAATTCAGACGAAGGATTCACGTCTGTAAGAACAAGCATGGTCAGCTGATTTCACAGTAGCATCTTTGTAGTATTTACAGAACTTGGTTGTGCAACGCTCGTCGCAGGAAGGAAGGAATTCTGCTTTGTCTGCGAGGGTTGGTGCAGTCTGAATCGATCCACCCGACCTCATTCTCATCATTGTCATAAGCAATCAATTTTCCACGAAGAGAAACATCTGCAACAAATATGAGATAAGGATAAATTTAGCAGGAATAGATTGGGCAATCGAAATTTGTCAAGAAAATGACCACTGAATACCTCCGACTATTATTACTGAATCATAACCAATCGTTGTTCCATCGAGCACCCCCAGGCAGACATTGCCCTTATCCTGAAATGAATCCCAGGAAAACCATGATGTTTTAGGTGTACTACTGTACTTCAAATAGGAAATGGAGTATACAGTATTAATCAGATGTAAGAAACATCACATGGGAACCTACACTGATGATCAAGTAATCTTCAGGACGAATGTTGAAGGTTCTGGAGAAGAAAAATCGTTTCTCGAATTCCAGACTCAAGGGCTTGAAAAAACGTTTCACATCATCCACAGATCTGAAAAAATGCCTGTCAATTTAGCAAAAAAGACATTCAATTAAGAGATTTCGATCATGTTACCTCACTGGAAAATCAGCTTTCATGCAGAAAGGAAGTGTTTTGTCTGAGTCATCTTGTACAAATCGTGGGGATGCAGCCTTCAGCTGTTAAATTAAAAGAAAACATAAGAATTGACCTGTTTTATGATTACATCTATATAAGAATTGACACTCACCGAAGATATCAATTTTATAAGCGCCTCATTTGGGAAATATGTATATGTGGACCCACTGTCAAAGATCACTTGAGTCAACTTCCCTTGTACATTGAGCTGCTGATCCCCATGGTTTACCTGCTGGACTTGGGCTCTGCGTATATCACTGAAGCTCACAAGAAAGGGAAAGCTTCAGTTATATGGCCTAACTTTTATTATTTCAACTTTATATAACAGCGTATTCATGTGCAATTTTATTTCACAGGAAAGGGGCCACGTAGAAGAGTTCCTGGTATGCTGTAGGAACTTGTGCTACTCGTCTGGTGTGCTCAGGCTAAAAAAAAGGCATTTCTTCCACCTGCTTTTGGCAACTAAATATTTGTGATTTGAGTAGAGACATAGCATGCAGGTCAGTTTCATGGCATTTCCTGAAGCATGTGGTGACAGTGTGATATTAGGGAGAGAGTAATGAGCTATAGAAAAGCTGTTGAGTCATTTTTCCCCTTTATGGTTTCAGTCTCAGAGAGTGACAACAAATGGTAAGATTGCTGAGGATATGTTGCAAACACCGCATATCGCATTGACTAAAAATGGTGCATGACATCCAAGGAAAGAATGATAGCCACACGAACTGAAATAATTTTCCATAAGACAGAGGCAACTTACTCTGCTGGACCATCTCGGATAGGGACCCAAGTCATTCCCCATCTGGGAAGGTAATCATCACCAAGAAACAAATAACCACCACCACTGGGATCTCTCGTCATACAGTGACCGAAAGCATTGGAGATAATACCTCGGCTGGCTAGCTGTGTAGGAAGGCTTAGTGCCTGGTTGCTCAGACCGAGAATTCCATCAGTATTTTCTAGTCTGTTCAAAAGAATTCCTTGCTGATCGTATCCACACCTGTATGCGATGGACAAATGGCAGTTAGTTTCTTAGACAATGTGCTAACAACAATCATCATTATACATACATGTCATGACGTTATCAGTTATTGGAAGGCTGACTCATACCCAAACACAATGTCTGCATTTTCCCTTTCACCATCTTCACTGATGAACTGCATATTATCCCTTACATGAACGCCCATAGAGGAGCTTCCGTCAGCATAACTGATATCATAGTCGCACTGATTTGGGTTGTCATGTTGGGCTCCTTCACAAAGTTGATCACTGGCAGGAACTAGATTCGTCCGTGCAGGGGGCCTATATAAAGGGTGAGCTCCCTGTAACAAGATTGAATAATGTTTATTACAGAATCCAGTGAACTTGGGACAATCCAGCTAATCATGAAAAAGAAGAGCTTCAAATGGGGACTTTGAACCCATGACTTGAGCCCCTCAACCACTATGCCACATGGAATTTTCCACTAATTATTAATTAAGATCATCAGGCAACGACATTGTAGTAAAACGGAGCATGTAGCTGAAATGGTGTGTACCTTTGCACAGCTTGTGCATGGCGCGTCGCACTGGATCCATGTTGTATGGCTGCCAGTATCAACATCAAGAAAATAAGGCCTTGGAGGATTGCCCAAAGAGACAGTAGTGTAGTACATCCTGCAAGGGTAAGGGCATTAACATTTAGAAGGAAAATAATGCGATGTTAACAAAGCGGTGATCAGGGCCTACCGACAATTGGATGTATAAACAAGAAAGACTATCTATCATCAAATAGTTATTCTACGCGCGGCAGCGGGTGGGCGCAGACGGCGAGGCGCGCCGGAGACGTCGGCGCCGACGGAAGGGGGGACGACACCGCTGTGGCAACGAAAGTGTCGCCATCGACAGTCACGGGCGGTCGACAGGGGGGCACTCGTTGGCGACCAACACGACGGGGCACGGTGGGCTGACCAACACGATGGGCATGGTTGAACCCGACCCGTTGACGCTCACGTTGTACTCGGGCACCACGCAGGATCGCGACATCTCGGAGGACCTGATGGTTGAAGAGTTTGCAGCCTCGCTCGTCGGCAGTCAGATCGTCACGTGGCCTTCCCTTGAGCACCTCCCGTCAACTTCGGCGACCTCCCAGCTTCCAGATGAGGCACCAGCTGTGGCAGCCACCCACCTGGAGGATGCGGTAGCCTCCTATGTGTTGCGGACACCACCCCCACGCCCCATTCAGTGGGCAGTGGACTCGTCGAAGACATACGCGATCGACCTCACGGTGGATGGCCCTTCCAGTTCACCACCAGGGGTTACCCACCAGGCTGTGGACAACGACGACTCCGCCAAACGACGTCTCGACAGCTTCATCAACAATGTCACGCGTAAGAGGGACTCTCCGCTGATTCGCGAGCCTCCCAAACAGCCTCCTGCTAAGCCGGTACTGCCGTGGCGGAACAGGCGGTTGGCGGCTTAGAGCCTCTCCCGAGTGCCGGCATGCATCAAGCGAGGTGAGGTGCTGATCATGCAGCGTATGGGCTACACTAGGGATCCATCTGTGCCATCCGCTTCAGAGTTGGAGGCCTTTGACAGGCTCTTCAACGGCAACCTGACTGCGTCCGAAGCCGAGGCGCCGGACGAGCTCTTCCCGGCAGTTGGAAAGGCATCGTCCAGGCAGCCACGAAGGCGCAAGTCCACCTAGGCCACAAAGCTGCGTCGATATTGGTTGTTTCCTTTTATGTAATATCGAAACATGAGGTCTTTTGCTAGGATGTTTCAGTTTAGGCTGTGTTAGGTCGACCTCCTTCGACGCTTGATAGAAACGTGTTGTATGTTTCTTTAAACTATTCTGCTTAATACAATTGATATGCAAATTTTTTGCGGAGAAAAAATCAAATAGCTATTCTATGTCCGTTTGTTGGGACGAGTGTTGACTTCGAAGCCAGCAAAGCAGTATCGCTCTAATTTATTCGAAAGCGCACTGTTAACCCAAAATTTAAAGACAGTTGTATATCTGAGTATAGACAACTTCGAGAGCGTAGACCCTACTGAATGATGAAATCCCAAATGATTGAGAGAGTTACGGTTCCGTATGATGGTCAAACGTACTTCCAATTCTGTGAAGGAACGAACGACTAGAGTACAAACTCTGCAACTAGCACTAAAACAAATGACAGTTCCAACTACTCCCCGAAAACAAACAGCAGACGGCTTATAAGGCATATTTTTTCAGTTAATAAATAGTATTTTTCTTTCACAACAAATCAGTCAACGGTACTTTTAGTCAGGACTTATCAGCCAAGCGAACAGGACATATACTTTGTTCTAATAACTGGTGGAGGTGGAGCCCCTGAAACATGGTATAGCCAACTGAATGGAAAAGGGAGACATGACAACAGACTCGAAATCATGCGAAAGTGTACAGAAATGGGCGCAATTATGAGGCGGCGAACTCAAAATCACCAAAAAATTGTGCAGAAGTGTCCGCGATTAGGAGCCGACAAACTCAAAATAATCGGAAAATGTCAAGGAGTGTCCGCGAACGAGAGAGCCGATAAACCCAAGGACCAACAAGGCATACTACAAGAGCCGCATTGAACGAGAAAGAAGGCAGCTCCCCTTTTCCCCCACAGAAAGCAATTAATTAACAACAAGGAAGGAACAAATTCCTAGAAACCCAGCTTGTTCGAGAATGTAACAGCAGCAGATGGAAGAACAGATACTGTTTGTTGGACAGAATTACGGAAACCGAATTCTTGCAGAGGCTGCGGGCACGCACCCTTCCGGGAAGAGCTCGTTGCCGGTGAGCGGCGGAAATAACGACGTGGAATTCTGCAGCCAGTTGTCGCCACGATGTGGCTTCGGGTAGAGCGGGAGCAGGAAGGACCTGCCGCCGGCCGCGCCCTCGTCGCCGCCGCCGTCCTCCCGCGTGTCCAAGAGCCGCCAGGCAGCCGTGGCGGCGTCCCCGTCCGCGTACAGGCAGACGCTGCCCGCCACTGCCAGCGCCGCGAGCGCCACAACCGCCACCGCCGCGCGCCACAGCGAGGACGTCGCCCGCGGTGACCGCTCCTCCTCGTCCTCCCTCTCCTCCTCTGGGGCGTCGGCATCACGAGGAGGAGAGGAGGCGGGCAACTCGTCGCGGCGGTCGTTGGGGACCACGATCATAACGTACCCGTTGGGAACCCGCTGGTGGTGCGGCTTCGTCCTCCCCTCGTCCTGCTCCTCCGGTGGACCCGGCGACGACGTCACCGGCGTCGTGGCGGCCATATCGGCCGGGTGATCGCGCGCGAGCGGTAGGGGATCGAGGAGGCGGAGGAGCTGGCTGGTCGATCGCGGGAGAGAAGAGAAGCAGGCCGCGCAAACGCAATGCCACGCGAGCTGCGTGTCTGCGACGGAAGGAGGGAGGCAGGGTGCGGGTTGCCATCCATATATGGATGACTGGTCCGCCGGTCCGGCCCCGGAAGACCAAGTCCCGACGACCCCGTCCCCGACTGCGTGTCCCGGTTTGGCCGCGAGGTGTCCAGGTGGCAGGACGGGGATTTCTTCTCAGCGCGCCAGTTGCCAAAAGGTGGTTTGGTGCCGTTGCACTTGCTGGCTCGTCGCGCGTGCTGTGCTCGATCGTATGAGTCGCATCGTCCGTACGGTATGGATGCGCAGCACGACACGAGCACGGTGGTGTGTCTTTGTCGTGGCCACTTGTAAGCTGTAGCTGGCATGATCTTGGCTGGGCACGCAGGGGATACGGGATCAAACGCTGCCGTCTCTTTGGCTGGATGGTAGGACTCGTGGGCGCGTCCGTTTCTAGATTTAATTAATGCTATATACTCCTAAAAATATATATTGTTTTGCAGAAACAACTTTGACAAAATATATATTTAAAAAATATTAATATTTATGATACATAGTTGGTATCATTGGAAAGATCTTCGAATCTCGTTTTTAATAAATTTATTTTGGAGATACAAATGTTGCACGCATTTTCTACAAATCGAGTCAAACTTTCGACACGGAAACCAAAAGCGACAGATAATTTGGGACAGAGGGAGTAGGTTGTTTTCACGGCGTGACAATTATGGAATATGTACAAAGTTCTCAATAATAAGAAAGGTATATATGTATACCTTTCAAGTTGGAAATAAATGTTCTATATAGAGTCACCTTTAATTAACCAAGGGGAGAAAAAGTTATGGAAATGGATTTCTCTCCAACTATATTGTTATACATGTAAAAAATGGCATAGTAATGCCAATTCCAATTTTGACTCTATAAATGAGGTAGACAAGACCACAAATTTCCCTTTAACTCGATGCCTCCCCATTTTTCCACCAAGCCCTATTTTTGCTTCCATCGTAAATCAAATCAATATGCAGTTGCCCATTATATATAGTTTAAGAAAGTGAGAGCATAGCCCAACTAGTTGGGTGAAAGGTGTGGTCATAAACCCTGACTATCCATGCATGTTCAACTCATTTTGAACTCAAATTTGGGTAATCTGTTTTCTTTTTAGTGAAGAATCGTCTATTTTTTTCTTAAGTTGGTCATATTTTTTCATTATATATTGTTTGGTGATTCATTTTTAGTCCTATAGAAGGAAAACAAAACGGATTCTTATACCCCTTTTTGTGCCCATGTCACATCGAGGTACCATAAGAAAAAAAATATTTGCAAAATCGAAAGGAACAATGATAGAGTAAAGGGATTTTTCTCCTTAGCAACATAAAATTTGACTTATTCTGATGCTTATGCTGATTTGTTGTGAGAGAAAAACATTATTCCTTCGCTGAAAAGTACTGCTGAAGTAATTCAATTGAACAGGACCACTTCATTGTAGTGATAGAAATTTTGACTATAACGAATATGTATGTATGAGCAAGGCTACAGGGGTCTTTCCCTGTGTTTTTGCTACGTATAATTAATTTCTATGTGCAAATAATTAGGACATGTGTTCATTGTGGAGGTCCCTATTTATGAAAGAAAGTCAAAAATTTCAAGCAAACTTTCATGGACCAAAACCACTTGCATAAAAACAAAAATGGGAGAAACAAATTATTGTGGCTGCTGCTTTCATCATGCTGAATGTTATATTTGAAGAAGCGAAGGTTCTCATGGCAACCGAAAATTAGCAAATCTTTTTTCTCCCCTTGTGAGAGGTATTTGAGAGTTCTTTACTTGGTTTGGTTGCTTGCTCTTGTAGTCTGGTGTGTCCCTATATATGGCCGTCATCACGCCTTGGTTACAGTTCCATCATGGCGTGTTGTTTTTTAATTACTGTACAAACACAGACACTAGTATATGTATATACTCATCCCCTATAAACAAACATATAACTTATCTCTATAAGCACACCCGAAAGACTAAACCGGCAAATTTCGATATTGATGAAGTCACCTATTATTAGATTTCTATAATTCACCTCAAAGATATTAATAGGAGACTCTAGGTCAATGGACAATAATCCAGCACTATAATTATTTATGAATACAAACAACGTGGATTAGTATAATCCATAATGCATATTATCATAATCACGTTCACAACCAAAGATTCTAATGATTCAAAACTGATTCAAATAGGCCATTAAACTATAAATTTGAGGAGAGCAGTAATACAATTATCATGGAGTGGCTCTCAACTTTGTCTCTCAAGAACTCATTATAGAAAATGTTTTCTTGCTCTACATTCTTTTGTTTGGAGGTGAAATGTGTGTGACTATAATTTTTCTTTCTCTGCAGAATGCTCCCTTTTAAAATTTATTAATGTGTTAATTTAGTTGTATCCTAAGTCCAACTTCTTAGAGTGTGACCAAATTATTCAAAAAAAAAACAGAGCAACTTCTACGACACATATGGCCTCGTTCGGCTTGCTGAAACTTGGCTGAATTGGCTGAAAAACACTGTTCTGGCTGAATTCTTGTGAGAGAAAAGCACTGTTCCGGCTGAAAAAACAAGCTGAATAGTATGGATTATAAGGTAAGCCGAACGGGGCCATAATTAGTTTCATTAAATCCATCATTGAATTTGGTCAAATTTGAAGAAAATTGTTGACTTATATATGACAAACCTAAAACATCTTTGCTTTTGGAACCGAGGGAGTATGCAATGCTACAGTGGTAGAAATTTGGACTACAAGGAACATGTCTGTACGAGCAAGGATGTTTCTCCGTATTTTCCTGCGTATCATTTCTACCTAGAAAGAATTGGAACAGTTCTTTATTACGTATTATGGAGGCTAACATCAGAAAAGTACCTATTTATGAAAAAAAAATATTTCAGGCAAACTTTAATGGACCAAAAAATTGTGGGTCAACTTAGATAAAGTAGGTAATGATTGCGGCTGCTTCCATCATGTTTGTTGACTTGTATATATATTTCGAAGAAGCGAAGGTTCTCATGGGAACTGAAATTAATTTGGCGAGTTTTTCAGAGTTGTTAGTTTTTGTTGGTTTCTCGTGTGTTGCTGCGCCTGTCCTTATCACCGGTGTATGTTTCGTGTCAGCTTGCGCCTCGGCTACGCTTTGGATGGTTATGGGCAGGCATGTAGCTGTTGGCGCAGGCATCTGATAATGGCGTTTTGTCAGGTTAAGTACGCACGTATATAGTTTGCAAGCTCAAAATCGATGACCGTGTAGCAGTACTATTAACTTTTTTCAGATTGGAAGTCGATGTCATGTGCCAATTTTTTAAGCATAAAGTTTTACAGATCGAGCATCGCAATCTTTTTACGACTCGACTGTTTTTTATTATTATTATTTTAAGCAGTATTCATGCAGTTATAAAAAGCGAGCGCAACAGAGAAATGACATTCTCCAAGGGACAAATAAATTACTCGTAAACAAAAAGAAGGTAGCGCAAATCATGTGGGTCTAAATTAATAGTACATTTAAGAAGCACTCGAGCTCGTCACGTTAAGATTTGCAGTGCATCCTAAGCAAAGATCAGCACCACCAATCCGTTAGCGTGAGCAGCCACTCTGTTTTTCTTGAATTGGATGGATGCTAGCATAGCATAGCCTGACGGCGCCGCGACAACTACTAGAGCAATAACAAGAGGTAGATCTTTTTTTTGCCTTTCCCGGCCTCCGTTGGAAGTTAGATTAGAGAAAAGCAAAGGAATAATCACTCAGCAGATTATTTGGCTTACATGACTACATCATCACCAGCGACCCTTAGATCCTTACTACCCTAGTGTCTTAATGGTTCCATCAGCCGCAAGCATTTCCAGCTGAATACTCTGTCATGCCATATTTGTGAGGACCAGTGTCTCCTCTGCCTGACATGCATGAACAATCTCTCAGCCTCAGGTCCCGGTGTAGTAGTGACGTCCCGAGAACCTCGCTTGCTGCAAAGCTATGCTGAAAAGTACTGTTCGCTGATTTGTTACGAGAGAAAAACATTGTACCATGATGGTAAGCGAACAGGGCAAGAAGCTAATAAGACTATGCTAAGAGCGAACATATCTAAGCTAGGTTCCTTCTGTTACTGTTGTATCACACATTGCACGCAGTTTCAGGCTATCCCCGGCTGCTTGGCGCTAGGTAGGGGAAGAAAAAAAAAAGTCCACGCGGCAGCTGCACGGTCAGTTTCAGCGTCGTTGCCGCCCGCCGGCCGGGCCGCCTTTGAGTGCCGCGGAATCAACGGCGACCCGGGTATCTGACCCGACGCATGGCTCCAAGCAGCAAGAGCATCTCACACAATGCAAAGTGCAGGATCGACTGCATTATTGCTAGCTGATCGACGACGCTCAATCCTCTCCGAGTCCCAGGATCATCTATTCAGCTAGCGTCGTCACCTAACAAAAGCGAAAGATTGATCGATGGACCGGCCGGCGTCGAGGGCGACCGCCTTCCGAAGTGACACTGACGATTTGATCCATCGGTTTGGTTTGGTGCAGGGAAAGGCTTCCCGTTGATTTCGTGGCTGTGGCTTGGCTTCGATGCATGTGTGCCTGGCAGTGGGCAGTGCCCGCAGCAGGTGGTAGATGCAGCATGATACCTGCTGCTGCTGGTGCCCTTGGATCATCGTTGTGCGGTCGGTTTCAGGTTCAGTCTCAGTCTCGCTGTCTGCCTCTTCTTTTCTCCCTTCCGAGTGCTGCGTGGTCACGGCTTTTGGTACATGTACTGTCGGTGTAAAGGACTGTTATATGTGAACAACAAAGGGCTTTCTTCGGTTCCGACTGATGCTACGGCTGGCATCGAGGTTTGTTATTAATTGTACGTCGTCTCTGAGAGAACGTGGTAACCGGGCCAGTTCACGCCAATGGTACAGCGTC